TATAGCATTCATAAGAATTATACAATAGGTTAAACATTTGAGCAATTTTGTTGAAACACCATTCTGGAATATCTAATATTGCACACACGTTGGGAGACARAATTTTGCCATTTCGCGAATTCGAACCATRAACTGCAGACATTTTGATACTTTTTTCCTATATTACCATCTCAAGATCCACACCGCTATGATATGTTTGTTACTAATGTTTGTATGCTTCATACTTTCCTATGTCCCACCTTTCACTATTTCCATGTATGTGTAATAAGAAATCGTTGTTTCAACAACCTTATTTTTTTGAACTTGGTTTATGTACTTGCTTATATTTTAGTAGGCAACCTATTAGTTTCATAGGGTCTAAAAAATATAATTTTTGGCTCAGGGTCCTGACTTGGTTATACATCAAACAAAAGAGTGTCTCGATGAAATGGGAGAATGGTGTCAAGATCATCATGCAGCAAGTGGTAAGTGGTCTTTAGCTCATCCAATATGGGGTTTAATGATAAATTTTCAAGATTTTGTGTCATATTGTTGAAATCAAGGGATTTGGGTTTTTGGTGATTTGGGRTTTTTGTTGGATTTACAAAAAGGGTTCTAGAGCAGGAAAACAGAAGGTTGAATACAACCCAAAGGTATGTTGTTTTGTGTTCTAAACTSTTTATCAAAAAGCATATTCAATCAAAGACATTAGATGATACTCTAATTATTGAGTTCTCAGTTCTACAATATAAGCTTATTCTGATTTCCAAACACCCAAAAGAACAAATGTAGTAATTAACAAGAACATTGATAGAACRACARCACTGATTTTGCTTCTRGGAAGATGGTAAGTTTTTCTTTATAATCCTAAAACCCAGATTAATATATGTGTGTGTATATATAGAGGATCAAAGAGATTCAAATAACATTCAAGAAGAAAAGCAAACCACATTCAAAATCRCATTCAYGGGTCCTTTTATGTTCAAATTACAACATAGAGATGTAAAAGAGGATTCTAAATAGGCTTGGCTTCATCGATCGTTAAACCAGAAAGAAGAAAGAGAGTTAAAATCCCATTATCAGAAGTGGTTGCAGAAATCAAAATAGAAATAGAGCATACCAAAAAGAAGAGCATACCTCCAAATTCTAGGGTTTTGAAGAACTTGTGAAATTAAATCAACAGGGAGGAGGGAGCTATATGTATTGATACATGAAATCGATTYTYTGATCGAGGTGATACATCCATACCACCATTGTTATGTCAAACCAGGTCWGTGAAGAAGAAAGGACTCTGCTTTCTAACCCAAAATGTTGCTGGTCGCAGGATACATAAGAAGAAGAAGAAAGGTTTTGGTCTTGGTGTTCACAGAGGGAGGAAACACAAGATGAAGAAACCGTAAGAAGAAACCGGCCCAAAATGGGTAATTTTTGGGTGTCTGGAAACCATTTGCATAAACAACTTVTACATTATGCATAATAATTTGTAATTAAGAGTTTTTTGAATTTCATGCATAAAATGGTTGTAATATATGCTTTAAGAGTTGTAATTAAGATAATGACCTAAATGCTTATATATGTAGTATAGATATAGATGGATGTTATTCTACACCATTTGTCATTCCTACATCCTATACAACTCTCATCTCAACCATTCAATTTTTAATCAATTAATTGTTTCCTAATATAAAGTATTAATCATAATTAATAAACTCTATTCATATTTCATAAATATTCAAATCATAATAAATAAACTCCAATCATTTCTATAAATATCTCAATTAATTGGGTTGCAAAGGTTGTACAAATGCACAAGGTTGTAAAAGAAATACACCATATATATATATATATATATATATATGTCGCCGCACGGGCACATCTTCTCTGCAAAATCATCAGTCTCTTCAAAATCTAGGGTTTGTTTTCATCTTTGATTCCATCGAAACCTTTTGAATCCGACCACATACGTAATTCATCCATGAGACCACCAAATACACCCAACATAGTGCTGTGTTTCTTTTGATTTCCATCTTGTCTAGGGTTTGTGTTCGCTCTACATATACTGCTTTCGTATCATCATCAATCAGGTTTTTTGGGGGATTTGTTAGTTATGTTTAATATCTCTTTCCTTCGATCGTCTTCATCGCTTTCATTGCTAGTGATTAAGCTTGGAAATCTCCGTGTGTTTGGCCCTGGATTGAATCCTTTTTCTCCATACAATATGGCTAATCACTTCTCTCGCTAATTTTCTTTTTCCATTGAATTGTTTGCTCCAAATTATGTAAAAAAAGACTATCATCTGCGATGTGTGTGTCTGTTCAGTTTCAAGACACTGTTAGGGTTTCCGTCTGTTTAAGAAGCAACCGTTTTTAGTTTATTTGGCTGCAAAGGGTTGTTGAATTTCGAGGTGTATTCAAAAGACAATTAAGAGAAGGAAGGATGACCCAAGATTACGTCGTGCGTTCGAATAGTAATAGTAGGCGCTTGAGGCGTTCCGACAGCTTGCGCTCCAACAGCTCCGGGGATGACAGGGACGATAGAGGATGGACTAATCTTCACGTTGGCGCTCGAAAAGGAGATCTTAAGGAGGTGAATATGCTTATAAATTGTGCAAGGTTTTTTCTTGAATAGTCTTCTTTGTAAAACTATAGTAGGTATATTCAGTTCTTTTAAATTTAATTTCTTTCATTTTGAGATTATAGCCTAATTCTAATTTTATGCGGAATGTTCTATAACGTTTTTATATTTCATTAGAGCCTTAGAGGACCTTTTGTGATGATAAGCTCTGAAGGTCTCCATATTTGCCTGTTCTGGTATTGTCTTTTGGCTTTTAGTGGGAATTTTTCTGGAAGTTTGGCATTAAGTTTATTACTAGCAGTTTCGACAACTCATCTTGTGGGTTCTAATGACGGCAATTTGCTATGCTTGTAGTCTTCATAAAAAAATTATATGATTAGATTGCATAGGATATTATGTTGAGTTAAAGACTTCTATGTGCTTGACTTATTTTGGTTGTTTTTCTATTCTTCTTTAAATGGAAGATCAACTGTGATGTGATGACACCTGACAAGCATTATGACAATAAGTAGTTCTTTGTAAGGGGTGTAAACGAGACTAGCCAACTCTTGAGCTACTCAAGATTAACTTGGTCAACACTCGACTCGAGTAGGATCGACCCTAACTTGAGCTTGACTGTACATGCTAACAAGTCGAGTCGAGCTGCCTGAACTCGACTTGATAAGCTAGTGAGATGCTCAATTTTTTTTATACATATAATTAGTTTTGTTCATTAATCAAAGGTATATTTGGAAATCTAGTTATCTCTTTTGAAACCGGATACTTGTTTTGGGACAAACATAAATAGAAATATAGACGCTTATTTTGGGATATAGGAGTAACATAATGTGTAAAAAAATATTAATAAATTAAATTATTATTTTTAATAGAAAAATGATAACATTAGTTGGCCCATAACAAAAAATAATGTCGTATATAATAAAATGTTAAATGAGATATGATTGGTTTACGATGATTACAAAATTATAAATTAGATTTCTGTTTTATATAAAAGAAATAACAGTTTTTTGGGTCAAAAATACAAAACACTTGCTAATAATAAAAAACTAGAAAATATTCCACATTGGTTAAGGGTGTTTTAGATGTTTACACAAGTTAAATGCCAAAAATGGCCCCTGCCACATCAGCTGGGTAGTGTTTATTTTGCCTCAACAGGGACTAATAAAATTTGAGCCAAAATTCCTTGTCCGATGTCGACTTTGTAATGTTGATTGTGACTCAAAGTGAGACTATAAAGGAGGTTGGAAGGCTCACCATAAATAAATAAGCCAATGGGTCTTGCTCAAGGGTGCAATATGGCTCATTAGGCCAAAATAATTCAATTAAAAATTAGGATGATCTAAACCCCCAAAGGGGCAAGGTTTGGAAACAAAGAAATGTGACCCGATCAACATCCTCAGTAATATAAGCCTTTGGTAAACATTCGAGCTTGATTTGAGTTCGGGTTTAGAAAATTGCTATCGAGTTCGAGTTGAGTTTGGAGTTTAACTACTCACGAGTTTTCTACTCGAATTCGAGTTGACTAAACCAACAGTCCAATATTCGAGCTCGACTCGCATCATTAACACCCTTATCCACCACTGTGGAGCTTCCAACACTATGCTCGTTGCCGCTATATGCCTACAAGTCACCATGTGATCAGGTGGACATAAATATTGAAATTGGATTTTCTTATTGACAACTTGTACACTGGACGCTGCTTCAAAACCCACGTAATGAGGCAAATCCCTTAGAATTCAGAACATGAATGTTTTCTAATTTATTTCTATCAAAGATAAACTCTTTTGGTATATCTTTCCCTTCCAAATCATTTTTCACAACTCCCTGTGTCAATCTTGAGTTCTTGACCACTTCTGCCACTCCTAAGGACATTGTAGTTCAAGTCCGCTTGTCCAGCTGATGCAGTGAAGTTTCATGTTGCACATCACCAAACAATCTCAAGCATTTGGCTTTTCTTGAACTCATGCCACTATATAACCTTCTGTATATGTTTATAATTCCCTTAATGTTTTCAGTCCTACTGCATTTGTTACTTGTGATCTCTGGAGATCTCCCACTAAATCTTTAATAGAGACTTTTATAGGAATCTTTCAAAAAAGTATTTGGTAAGGAATTTGTGCAAGTGTGGAATGAAATGAAGAACATTAAAGGGACTATAGTGAAAAGAAGGGCTAGTGTAAGTGGAAGTGTTTGGAGGGAAGTTAGAAGATAGTCATTGTTTTGGAAGTAGTAAAAACTTAAAAAGTACATAATAGTGTAGTTATTTAACAAGTTGTGTGTGTTAGTTACTTGTATTTTGACATTTTACATTTTACAAGCAATTTTTATAATAAGTTGTGTGTTTTCTCTGCTGTTTTAACTCCCTGAAATCAACATTTTGTTTGCATAACATTTTCCCATAAATCATAACAAGTTACTGCAGTGCTACAGTTCTTACATCTCAAATTTCAGTGGAAAATTTTAATCCAATAGGAGTCCTATTTCATCCTCCCACATACTATCTCTTATCTTCACATTATCTCTTAATATTTTTGTAATGTAATGCTGCTCAGTATTACATTGTGTTGTGGATATACTCACCATGTGTTCCCCCTCTCTATCAATATACTAAAGTTGTATTTTGCATAATACACAAACGAGCATATGAGCAGACACGTGAGAAAACAATAGAACAGTTGAAATTGGGAATATATACTTTCTTGCTAATTTGGCACCTACTCTTTGCTGTCTTCCATCTACAATTAGTTGGAGATGAAAGGGGGGTTGATGGTTACAAATAATCAATTGAGAACATTCTAGTTGATTGTTTTACTGGAGCTCTTTCTCTATTATCTAATTCTGCCATATCTTTACATAGCGGGATGTTTACCCAAAAAACCAAAATATAGCCTAGAAATCCACGTGTTGATTGGTGTCTGGAGGTAATAATCTGAAGATTTTGATTTTTCTGTGGCAGGTGAAAAGGCTTCTCGATGAAGGAATGGATGCAAATGTGGCTGCACTGGGTCCCAAATCTCATGGGCTCACCCCTCTCCATCTTGCTGCCAAGGGTGGTCACATAAAAGTTATGGATGAACTGCTTGAGCGTGGTGCTAATATTGATGCTCGAACCAAGGGTGCCTGTGGCTGTAAGTATATTATGATATGTGATCCCCCTGTTTTCCACACAGCGTCAATGCCCGTTTTCTTAAACCATTTTACTTTTATCTTGAATGCAGGGACTCCACTCCACACTGCTGCAAAAGAGAGAAACAGGAGAGCAATCAGATTTCTAGTCGAAAATGGAGCATTCTTGCCGGATAACATAGAGGATACGCGGTTTAATCCACCAGTTCATTACTGTCCTGGTCTTGAATGGGCATACGAAGAGATGAAGCGTGTTCAACACGAGAGTGGCTCATCATCTGGAGAAGGTTCCTACAGTTCTGAGAACTAAAGACCATTTCGACTTTATCAAGTTCGTGTTTCTCCATGGTATGAAATTCGGTCTCTTTTTGATTTTAGGATTTGTGATATTGTTGTATTCTGTTTCTGGGTCTTTGTCTGGATAAGAATGTGAATTCCAATCAATAAATCATATGCTATTAATGCTACTGCTTTCTTCAAGTCATTACGTCGTTTTCCATGACCATCTCTTTTGGCTGACGTTGTTGATGTGATTAGCGGGTTTGGGTAAACGGGCCATTAATCTAATGTTGCATTAAACGCCGTCACTTAAGGTTGAACTTCCCTAATTCGATGACGATAATGACCGATGAAGAGGGAAGCCATTATTCAGCAACACCGACATGCAAGTCTTGGATAAGGATCTATAATGCATCAGAATGCCGTTGTGGACAGTCTTTTAAGACTGCGATTTCGCAACAACGGTCGCAAACGGTGACGCTATTAAAAACGAAGATAACTGAAATTTGAAAGCAACGGTTTTGCACTTTTGTGTTCTTAATTTTTAGGAGTTTTAAACAATTTCATGTATTTAATGAGTAATATTTACAATTTCTAAACAATTTGAACGAGTTTTATAAGATTTAAGGTTTTTGTATTTACAGTTGAATAAATAAAGTATTATTTGATTGAAGCGATAATATTCACACATTTATTACATATTTCTTTATTACATTCTTTGATCAAGTGAGATATTAAAGCTCAACAATAGTTTACTATTTATACCTTTTTGTTCTTTCTTTAATATCATTTAATTCTTTTTGTGGTTTATTTTAATATACATAAAAATAAAGATATTTTTATTTGTATGATTAATTTTTTTTTTGCTAAGATAATGTTGGCCAAAATGAGTAAGCTCATGAGTTCGGAAGGTCAGCCAAGAACGTGAGTTAGAGGATTGACCAAAAGGAGCCAACCTCATAAATTGCCATAAAAACATCTCGTATCTCTCTTTAAAGTACCCACCATTCGTTGTAAATATTTCATATCTCCATCAATGTGAGATACACAAACTCAACCACAATTCAAGAAATGAAGAATACTCTCTTCTTAGGTTGTCACCTCATTCTTTGTTGGTTTTATTTTAATATATATAAAGATTTTATGTGAAATAAACAGACGTAACCACATTTCAAGATTTAAGAAATACTCAAATCTCATATTGACAATTGCAAGTGAAAGAGTTGACTCATTTGAGCCAACAACATGACTTGCAACAAAAAATCACCTCCTCTTTTTATATATATATTCCCACTTCATTCCTTCTACTTTCTTTTTGTCAATATATTATCTTCTTACCGATGTAGAAAAAACTAAATAACACTATAATTCAAGACTTTCATAAAACTCAAATTTTATAATGTCACCTCAACTCCGATTATTGTTCTTTTATAATAATAACTATCGTAAAGTAAATCATTGTCTCACTAGCCGACCTGGACTTGAACCAGAGACCTCGCCCGTGAAGTAAATCATCGCATCTACGGTCCAACCAGTATTTGAAAGAAGAACAGTGATATTATTAATAATAACAAAAAACTAACCAACTAGAAGACTCTGGAGAAGAAGCAAGCTTCAACCCTCCCCAAGACAACAGAGCCATCATTGTGGGGAGGGTAAAGAGCATCCAACGCAAAGCGGCCTTTCATTCCCTTGTTTCGTCGTGGCACACCCCTCCCACAAGCACCCCCCGGCTCAGGGGGGACCAGAAAAGGTCTTTCGTTTTCCCACCCCTTCGTCGGCCCTTGCCACGTTCCTTAACAAGCCCTCGAGCCTCCTTTGCGCCGCCTTCCTAATAGAAGCCGCTGGGTTGACCCCGAAGGCCGAATTTTATGGTAGAGAACGCTGTAATAATAATTGGGCCATGAGATTCTTTAAAAAGCTGGTGCTAAGTCCTCGAAATGGGATGATGACGGACATGATTTTTATCCAAACATTAGGTGCAAGAGGTTAAAAAAAGATTGGATGTTTTGTTTGAAACATTCAAAGAAAGATTTGATACGGTTGACTTTATTTCAGCATCTCAAGAAGCATGTAATCAAGAAGATTTTATATTATGTGATGGAGCCTCGAGGTAATGACTTCTTTGGGGAATTTCTACATGTAGAAGAAAGTAACTCGGTTGCGATTGGAACCGAGTTAAAGAGGTACCTGAATGAGCCGAAAATTTCATATAGTACCGCGTTTAACACACTTAAATGGTGGAAACAAAATGCTATTCGGTTCACAATTGTATCTCGGATGGCCAACGGTAAATTATTATGTCTATTATATTTTACGGTATTATCGTTTATGTTTTACAATATTATTGTTAATGAACTTTGTATTTTTTTTTTCTTGTTTTATATATAGAGATTGAAGAGGCGGTAAACGAACATAATAGAAAAGGAAAAGGGAAAAAGAATACCAAAATTTAAGTACAGATTGTTGAACTTTTGCGATTGGTTTTGATTGTTTCTTTACCCACTTTCAATTTTCGGTCCTAAGTGGTCCTAGTCCCGAATTTCCCGAACCGAAACCGCAACCAAGCTAGTAACGAATTTGTACATATGATTCGGTTTTCGGTCCTCGTTTTCAGTCCAATTAATTTTCGGTATCGACCGGTTCCTTCCTGGTTTGATACAGGTCTGTATCGATCTCATCCCTAGTTTCTATTCAACTTGATTAATCCTAATTAAGTTTGTTAAATCACATTAAAAAAAGCATGATTATACGATAACATAGTATATACACATGCGAACTATATTCTATTCCAATTTCAACCAAAACCCATATATTCACATGTGAATTATACTTTATAGTAGACAAATTTCTTTTAAGAAATTCATCAAACATGTAGTAGACGTATTTTAAAATTGTTGACATCAAGAACAAATTTAAGCATTTCTATGATGTTGACATCAAGCACAAATTTAACTAGACCATGAACAATACAAAGGTTTTGGTAACGATATAGAGGCAGCTAAAATTTTACCTGAAATCTCTTATGGTTTCAGAGGTAGGCTCTGAATGACATCCGGCTGACATAAACAAACAGGGCCTTACAAGCTTACCATCGGCTACAATTCGTGATTTCATTCATGTTTTTATCCGCTTTCGCTCTCTTAATCTCGTATTTGTATTTTTTATTGGTATCCAACACTCTGGTGCTTCATTCGTTGCCGATCCCATCGGCTAAATCGTTACCGAACATGGATAAAAGTCTAGTATTTGGGAAAATTCAACTTGGTTATTCTTGAAAGTGGGAAACGAAAGACACAATACAATGTAAAAAAGTGTTTATACACAATGTAATTCTTAGGACAAATGAAAATTTGACGTTGGGATTTCCAGTCGAAAAATCAACTGTTGAGGTCGACGGTTGATCCGACACACACAATTTAATAAACAACGCACAATTTTGTTCATGTGATGCGAAGTTGAACCGGAAAATGACCAACTAATGCATCATTCAAGAAGAGTTGTCGCTCGGATTTTTTTTATTTTTGACAACTCCCAATTGACCAAGTTGATTCAACAAAATGCTACAAACCATTAAAGGGCTGTTTGGCGGTTGCTGAATGATTTAGTATAAAATAATTAAGTGATCAGAATGACTAAGAGGTTCTCATGATATAGTACAAAATAAAATGTAATTGCATGGTAATTGTTTACGATGAAATTAGGGTGCTGAATGGTTAAGGGAGACATATGATACAAAATCATTCAGAAGGTTTTAGAACCATTAATAAGGCAAACACTATAAGATAGCGTTTGGTATATCGATCAAGGTTTTAAATAACGTAAGGTGTACCGTGGCGGCAAGATCAAGCCTCAAATTTTACGAGTTACGACGAGATCACTACGTTTTTCAAGGAGGGCCCTAAGCGGCATATGCATCCATATTTGTTTGTGTGTGTATACATATAAACTTGTGTGTTATTGTTTTGAATATCCCATAGAACGATTTAAATTAATAAAAGTTTACGATATATCATGCTTATAAGAAAATGATATTAATGTGGTGTTTGTTTTTTAAGAGGTGATGAAGTCTGAAGTCTGAATTCACTTCTGAATTTTAAGAGGTGGTGCTGAAGTCTGAATCAGTCAGACTGTTTGTTTTTACGTCTGAAGTCTGAAATCTGAATCAGTAAGACTGTTTGTTTTTGTAAACTGAGACAAGCGACGTAAGGAGGCGATAGCAATAAGAGGTTTTAAGTGCTAGGGTTACCACTTAAAAATTCAGAGGAAAATAAACGAATTCAGCTCTTAATTTGAAAAAAAAAAAAACAAACGATCTGAAAGTTCTTATGTCTGACCGATTCAGACATAAGAGGAAATTAAGTGAAAAATTAAAAAAACAAACAGCCCCTAAGAGTGAAAAATCGAAATTTAGTCTGTTGAGTCTCTACTCACTATTTTATTTAATATTCAACGAATTTTCGTGTGAATCTATATGCACATGAATTACAGTAACGATTTACATATTTAAGATTTTAGTTTTTATGATTTTTTAATGTTTATTTAAATCTATGTGTCGTACAATCATTTAGTCCTTAAGTTATATGTTTAAAAAAATTAATATAAAAACTCATGACTATACAAAATAACGTGCCATAACGCCATAACGTGTTAAACAGAAGTCAAGTCTTAGAGTGAAGTCATAGATGTTAACATAACGACGAAGTGAAGCCTTGATACCATATCGTGGCATGACGAAGTATTTGGACTGATCGTCACTCTTGTATTTGATACAATTGAAAATTTGGATTAATATTGGATCAATTGTCTATCAAAGGACAAAATTGTTAAAATGAGTTAGGTGGCGTTTGTTTTTTAAGATGTGTTGAACTCCGAACTCTTATTTTACTTTTGATTAACTAGAAAGGTACTTGCATAATGCAACGAGATAAATCTCGATTTTAATGTTTAGTTTTTATTCTTCGCCTTTATCGATATAATATGATTTTATGTGGTTTTGAGAAAGTGATAATGTCTATATTTTTGAATGAAATATAAATTTAAATATAGCATAAAATTTTGAAAAAATAAATAAACCGATATTAATATCAAATTAACTATTTGTCTTTTTGTGTAATTTCTTAAATTCTATTTTTTATTATAATTTAATTTAAATTTAATAACAAAATAATTTATTTATTATTTAATTTAGTAATTTTTTATAAAAATAATAATTAAATATTTTATTAGAATTTAATAATTATTTTAATTGTATTTTAAATTTTTATATTTAAAATAAATTTTTATTCTATATTTAATTATATTTGTCAGCGGTTAATTAAAAAAAATACCCAAAATTACCTGTAACACCGAACTCCTAAATCTGCATGACATAAATGAACCGAACCGGAATTGTGCAGTTTGTGCTCTCTTGATTCACCGGCGACGATCAAAGCAGATCCAATTCTTTTTATTCATCAGGTGTGTTCTTTATATATGAAACCTCATCAGTCAATAATTTGAAACTTCGAGTTGAAATTGCGGTTTCATGTTTACGTTCTCTCTCTCTCTTTTTCTAATTGAGTGCGATTTCTGAATAGGGTTTCTGTGAAGTGCTTCTGATTGATATGTGACCGTGAGTTGTTTTACTTTTGTATAATGTGGAGTTTGTTCCTTATATTCTTCAGTACGCATTCGCTTGGATCTGATCAGCAGGCGTGAAGTTTCTATCGAATTATTGTTAGTCATGGTCAGAGCTCTAATTCTTTTTGTCCTTTTTAAGTTACATAGCAATCTGTAGAATTGGGATATCTATGTTCAATGGCTTACATCAATTAAATGATTTGAATATTGTGCTCCTTCCATTAAAATGAAACCCTTTATGGAACATTACTTTTTTGCAATGTGAAAGTAATTTTGAAGGGAGGGAGTAATACAATAAAAGAGTAGAATGGAAGATAAATAAGGGAAAAACCTATAAAGGGCAACAGCATTGTCTTGTTTGTAGAAAAGAGTACATTAGTGTGTTATTGAGGGGGGATAGCATCCCATGAACCTTATTTGATTGATGAACTACTAGGCTTCTTATCTGACCTTGTATTGCTCAGGGAAAATAGTATTAGTATAATAGTATATGTACATTGTTACTTGCTATCAGAAAAACAAGACAACTTCTAGGGGAACTTCCTTGTTTACAAGGTTTAGAAAATATGGACCTCAATTTTCTCTGTGATCACGGGTTATGTAGAGGGATCATAAGCATGTCGTGGGACGCTTCATTCACAACATAGGGAACATACACCAAACCGCAGAGTGCTTTCATGAAGGAACATAATGGTTATTTATCCGACGAGAAGAAACCACAGGTGTAAGGTGAGGCCTACTTAAGGCTTGTTAATGTCACCACTCTTCTATGCTTTGGATTCTTGTGTTAGATCATGTTATACTTGTACCAAAGGTGCTTGCAAGCTGATCATATAGAAAAGGCTCATCAAGTTGCACAAGAGACAAACTCAAAGACTAAAGGTGAGAAGTGAAGACAATAATATGATGGTGAATTGCAAGAAGAAGTTAGAAATGTGAAGTACGAGACGAGAGAGGTTCAGTTTCCTTCTCTGTTAGCACCTACTTCACACATGATATGTGATGGTTTAAAAGGGAAGAGGATGCTTACAGTTAACGTATTAAAATGATCTTCCATATTTTTTTTCTTTTAGAGAATAAAATCCGTTATATACAAGCCCACATGACATTTCTTCTATCTAGAACTCATAGATGGGATTTTGTAGGAATGATGAGCTACATAACCTTAAGTATTATTTTAGGCTTTTATGCATATTGTTTTTCCTTTTTCCTCTTAATATATGAAGTACAACATGCAAGGATCACAAGACTTAACAAAGCAAAATTTCATTTGTACAATTTCCAGTTAGATAGTAATTGTTACAAAAAAATGGAAATTGTACAAAAAAAGTATTACAATTATGGGTGCTTTTTCATTTTATTATTTATTTAGTTATAAATTATGATCATAAGGTTACCGGTTGAGTTAGAAACAAATTCTTCACAAGCCACAAGGCAGTGCTATGTACAAAGACATTGCTCCTCATCCCTTGTGCCCATATAGGTGTTTCTGTTCATTACCAAGGGAAATTTAGTCTGCTTTGTGTAAGTATAGATTTAGATTTTCATTCCTGGAGAAGTCATGTAATTCTCAGTTCATCTATTATTGAATTATTGGATGACTTGAGAATGTTATAAGTATGTCTTCTTTCTTGAGTGAACTAAATTTTTAGCGTGAAGTCTTAGAAACCTAGTTTCTCTTATCTTCTTTTTTTCCAACTCCTGTCTTTCTGCCTGCTGCTGCATCAAAATATACCTACATTAAAATATATGTAATTTTTTTGACCTGATTAGTCTAGGCAGACACCTTGTCTACCTTGCCTCCCTGGTGTTTAGTACCCTTCTGATTGACTTTTTGCCTTCAGCAACCATGAGCCTGGTAGCACTTGTTCTGGTGTGTTTTGTGAGAAGGGGATTTTCTACACATCTTGCCAACTCAAGGCACCTTCAGTTTCTGACCTACTTGGTCAGTCAATGGTACGAAGGTCTTGTATCCATATTTGGGAGGTGTTCTTGATTGAAAATGGTGAGTGTGACTGGAAGTAATCGTCCTCCACAACAGCTCATTGATAGATATCATTGCAGCTGGGTTACCATTTCTTTCGTTTGCTTGGGTATGTGAAACGAAGAAACCTGTAAAGAACTAAAGATATTGTTTTGGGGTGAAAAGGACCTAAATGTCGGGGATAACTTATATAAATACAATTTCAAGCAACTTTAAACTTGAAGACGCAAAGTATCTATTTTATTGAGGTGAAACAAGTTGACTGTCCTACCCCTAATTTAGACTTGATGCTCTATTTTACACCCATATATTTCATACAAGCTTTGATCCTCTAGAGTTGAGATGGTTATCTTTAAAAATATTTAACATTTTTTATCATTAAGATTTAAGGCTAGAGTCTAGATCAGATTATCACATCTTATTTTGTCTTTGGGGATGCTTGATATTCAATATCTTTGAAGATGTTAGGCCTGACAAAGGTGGTTTTGGTTGGAACAATCTAGGAAGGCTATGATGAGCAGCTCTTGAGGTCTTCGAAACTCCAGATAAGGTCAGGGAGGAGTGCCTAAGGCTGGATTGAGGCTTGATGATGATGGGAAGGTTAGATAGAGGTAACCGATGGCGCAGGACCCCTGGCTGGGATATAATTTAAGGTCTCAAAAGCCAAGAGAAGGTTCATTGAGTCTTGAAGGTCATGACAGGGTCATGGAGTGCTGAAGACCCTTGTCAATTGTTAAGAAGCCACAAATGCTGTGAAGGTTTAGATCTGGTCGAATGAGGTGTGTTTTCTTGTCAAAGATGGCGTTGGTGATGGTCAGCAGGAGGCTTCAATCAGTGGTCACACAGCCCCAGGGGTTGCCGTGAGGCAGTGAGTCCCCCTTTGGGATCTGGGGAGACTGTTGATTGAAACTCTTACATGCGAGGAGTTTGAACTTCAAGCCTCCAATACCATGTACATTTTCCAGTTAATTCTGTGTAAATTTTCCTGTTAATTTCGTGTGTATTACCTGGAAACCATGCCTTAATACGTAGTACAGCAAATTGATCCAGGGCTTGAACATATGAACATAATAATCTCTAACTAAACCGCAATTTGACTTACTATCTCTCAACAGTCTCCTAATGTACTTTTACATTCCTTTGTTTTATCATGCCTGGAAGGCTGCAACTAGTACATACATTTGCGATATTGTGACTGCTTTAAAGAAGGGGAAGGCTGCTCGAGAAAAGCAAAAAGGATTCAGACAAAATAAATTATTAATATTATCTTGTCATTGCATCCTTAGAGTACTGATATATTTGGGCTCTATTTAAGCAAACATACATGGAGGTTTGTATCATGCACAGACAGTGAACCTTTTGAAGGGTTTCATTTTAATTCTAAGCATGTCTTGATGGGTATGAGGCTATGAGCTAAGCTAAAAACCAACAAGTAGTGAGAATTCTGTCTGGAAGAATGTTGGAAATGAGAAAGATCACTGTAGGGAGAGCAGAAAAACAAAGAATGAGGATGGTAATTAGGTTAAGGAACATTTGAGGATAGTGGGTATCGGAAAGATGACTGTAAAGTGAGGATTGATGTTTTAGCGGGACTGCCTCTCTTGATGATCAGTTAAGGAGGTGAAGAAGATGGGATGAAACAAATATATAGGTTGAATATTTGGGAAAACACTATAGGTGGTGCCGTGGTGGTTTTAGATTGCTTCCTTTTGCATGGGACATTCGTTATTGACAAGGCCATCTTGGGGTCATAGCCAGTATGGCACCATTCCCAACTTTTGATATTACTGTTGGGTGGCATGAGGAGTCGTTGATGGAGGTTGAGCCATGCAAAAAGTGTAATGTAGTCAGTGTTGATCTGGATACTTATTTTGGTAAAGATGATCAATGACTCAGATATCATACTTAAGTTATTCACGTAAACTGGACATCTGATTTATAGCCATGTTCCCTAGTGGCTAATGGGTGGGGGTAATTCAGTAGATTAGGGGTCTACAATCTAGTCTACCGACTGAGAGAGAAACAATTAGGTGGTGTTTGTTTTTTAAGAGGTGCTGAAGTCTAAAGTCTTATTTCAGTTCTTATTGTTAAGAGGTGCTGAAGTCTAAAGTCTAAAGTCTTATTTCACTTCTTATTGTTAAGAGGTGCTGAAGTCTAAAGTCTTATTTCACTTCTTATTGTTAAGAGGTGCTGAAGTAGCATAATAAAAAAACTTTTGTTTTTGTAATTGATAAATGTGTGAATAACTGTAACTGTTTATTCTACCCCTCAGAATATTATAATGTTGAATGTATGTAAAAAAATCCACTTTTACTAATATATATGTAAATAATCATTACGGTGATCGTTTGTAATTATAACACCAACTTTCAAACAAGAAGTAACATGAAGTAGAATATATTTTATTATATATTGTTTCTCATTACTCTGCGACAATTTGACATTTACTTGCTGTAAGTAATTGTTTACAATAAATAACATGATAACAAATTTTATGATTAACTAATAATAATAGATGTAAAAAAGATTGAAACTTTTCAAAAAAAATTTTAATTTCTCAACAAATTTCAACTTTTATCGGTATATATAATAAGAAAGTTATTACCGAAATAATTTAATTATATTAAACGTATTGCTAAATGTCCGACAAAATAAAGAAAAGTTATAAACCAAAATCTATATCTTGCATATTTTATAACAATTACTAATGAATAAATAAATACATTTTTAATGAAATTCTGTAATAAAATACATATGATACTTCATTTTGAAGCTATTGAAAACAGGAGCAGACCTATGAGGGGGCTGAGCGGGGTCCCATGCACCCGCTCAACCTATGTTTGCAAGTATTTCTTTTTGGGGTATGAAGGTGCACCCGCTAAACTTTGAGGGGTGATCCGAGATATGAAAAAATACAAGAAGCGTCAACCAAAAAACCAAAAAGTCAATCGAAATCAACCAAAAACTTAAATAATCCCTCAAAATGGTGGAATTTGGCTAAAAACACATCGGGTGACTTTGTGGGCCTTTGATCCACCTTAAAGGTGCAGCTGATTGGCAAAAATTGTTGGTCCGTCACTGATTGGAAATAGAATTATTTCTATTTAATTTAGGGAAAATGAATAAAAGAATAATGAAGATGGAAGTTAATAAGAGGAAAATAAGAGGTGTGTTAACCTTTTATCTAATAAGAGGAAGGTAAGAGGTTTTAAGCTCTTATAGCAGAAAAAAACAAACAATCTTATAACTGTAACCTCTTATCTGGTAAAACATAAGTAGTAAAACTCCGAAAACGAACGACACCTTAGCCTTTATTCTTTTAATGTGGCATTGTGCAACAGTGCAAGGTCTGTACAAACATCTAGTAACATGGTATTCTTACTTGTAATTATTTAAATAAAAAAGACGATTTAGTTCTTATGCAGCAGCATTTGGTGCTATACATGCAATACAATAGGGAAAAGAAGAACAACATGAATACATGTGTGCTTGCATTTGTGTACTCCTGTTTTGGCATTGATTTTTGTTAGAGCTTTTATCATGTAGCAGAAGAAAGTAATGGATATCTGGACCACAGTCAACATAGATTAGGACCAGCCATTGTGTGTGTGCATCACCTGTTACTAGGATATTAAATGTTCTTATATCCCAATGTTTTCGCTTTTTTTTGTTCATGTAACGTCTCTGGACATGATGGAACTTTATGTTTGTGTGCTTGCATATTACTCATGTTACCTGGAAACTTGGTTTAACATCATCTATTGCTACGATAATGTACTGCCTTGTTTTTTTTACCCATTTCTTTTCTCTCTCTTGTATTCCGATTTCTCCTTTCAAATTAACGTGTGACTATTTTCTCTTTATTGCAGATTCATTTTGTTCTCTTAATAAGCCGACAAGGAAAAGTTAGGTTGACAAAATGGTATTCACCTTATTCCCAGAAAGAAAGAAGTAAGGTATGTTCTTACTCAGAGGCTGTACACTATTATTAGTGTCTGCACAAAATTTGGTCATCAGTCTCTTCGATTATTGTTTAAGACATGCATTGTGGCTCGTTCCAGTATCCAATCATAGAGCATAGTTAGAGACCGCTTTTCAATTTTTTATGCTGAGATTGTTGATATTTATTTTTCTCTTGGTTTTATCCAGAAAATTTGTGGTAATATACTGATATTAATGCTACTCATCTTTTGTGTTATTGGGAGGACATGCAGATGAATTGATTGATCATTTGGTAACACATCTCAATGTATAAACAAAAAAAATCCCCCCTCTTTCCATGTATATTGCAAGCTTTGAACGAATATAGTTTTGTGGAGTGTTTAACTATTTGTCAAATCTCATAAATGTCGTTGAATCATAACAAAATAAAGGAATCTTCTACCATAATAAATGGCACCATTAAGTTGTGATCATGGCAATGAGCAATTAAGTAATCTAGTTTGAAACTTTCCCAAAAGGAAATGTTGCAATTTTCATGGACATCCAAAAAAGGAAGATGGTTGGAATGGGATGGAGGGAGTATTTGCTTAGAACTGTCATTTTTGCATTTATAGTTTCTTTTTGATCCGGTATGTGGAAACCCCGACTGTTTCAGTGAAAAACGCCTCCAACATCCACCTTACGTTTGAGTTCTGACTTGGTGACTTGTCAGCTGCCTTGAAAACCTGTTGTGATTGCAAGCAGTTATGATGGCTCCTTTCTAGATAAGCTATCTGAAAGTGAAACAAATGAATAAGTTGGAAGTGACTAGACACCAGTCTACTAGAGTACTTCTCTAATTTCCACCAAGTTCCTCTCTGCTTGGTTGTTGCATTTGCATGCATTTCATCTATATGTTCACCTTTTGTTTTTTTTTTTTCCAGAAGATGAAATAGCTCTTGCACTATTAATATACATTTCTGTCACTAAATTCGTTTCGCATGGCTGTAAACTATGTAAAGGTAATACGGGAGCTCAGTGGGATGATTCTAACACGAGGCCCCAAGCTATGCAACTTTGTTGAGTGGAGGGGATTTAAAGTTGTTTATAAGAGGTATCTCCAGACTATCTATTCATTTCATTTGGTGCTATTTAGCTGAAAGACTTTCTAGAAAACTGACTAATATAAACCCTCTAGTGTATTTCCAAGTTTTTACGGGGTAAGACTGTTTAAAACTAGGGGCAGACTGTTTAACATCAGAGGGCAGGTCAAATGAAGGTCATTGAGTTTAAAAATATTTAGAAGGTCATGCTCCTAATTGAGAACTCATTTAAGGTCATTTAACCAAAGGACCCTTTCATTTGCTTCTCAAGCATCCTTCTCCCTGTGCAGCAATTTCATGTTGACCATGTTCTCTAAGTACTTATATTCCACTGTCTCAGATATGCCAGCCTCTACTTTTGTATGTGCATTAACCAGGAAGACAATGAATTGGAGATCCTTGAAATTATTCAATATTTTGTCGAGACTCTTCATCGTTACTTTGGAAATGTAAGCCATCTGAACCTCGAAATATGATAAAAGATGAAAGATATAGTTACGGTCTTTTTGTATATTTGGAAGTTGATTCTGTTTCTGAACGTCTGTTTGCCAGGTTTGTGAACTAGACTTGATCTTCCATTTCCATAAGGTATATTATTTTAGCTCAGCTCAATGTTCATATTATTATCTCGATTAATGTTTTGAGTGGTGATAATAAATATCCAATGATTAAATTAAAAAACAAATGAGGATCATCTGTCTAATCAAATTTTAGACAAGGGGATTTTGGGAAAAAAAAATTTGTCCACTTTTCATGTTGGATTCAGTTTGGCAAAGGAAAAGTACTTTTTTACCCTCTGCTTCGGTAGGATATTTATGATATGCAGCCTCTCGTCCCATATTCCTTTTTGTACATTCCAGAAATAAAAACATCTAACATAGCAGGAGGGATCTGAACAATAACTATTCTTCCAACAACCATTATAGCATTGTCACCTGTCAACATTTTGAAAATAAGGCACACTGCAATTAAATGTACCCAAGTTCAATCACCTAAGTCTCATCACTCCAGTAATTCTGGATACACAGATAAGAGTCCACGCAGGGAACAGGGTGGATCTTTCCATGTTGAACTATATACAAAAAAGTTATAGATTATCATACAAAAACAAACCAAGATGATCAAGCTTTGACTAATCTCATAATTTGGCCCAGCAGCTCCGCTTACCTCGACTCAAACAAACCAAACTCCAATCTTCCATGTTGTATGTGTTCTATTTAAGATTCTGGACCTTCTTCCAGCAGTCTCCTTGTATATTTCTTCTCTGTTGAAGTGGTAAATGTCCTACATCCGCAGCTTGTCAAGATACCTATATGTATATATATGGTTTGGGCACCCTTTTCCTTTGAGCTAGCTTTTGGGAGTGAGCTATACGTACTCGAGCCCATTTATCTCCGTTTAAGAGCAGAGATGAGAGAATTGCATTTATTTGTTTGTTTGGGCCAACGTGTGAGGGAGGGTGTTGAAGTAGTATTTGTTCCACATGGTTGTCAAGATACACATATCATATATGTGGTTTGGGCACCCTTTCGCCTTTGACCTAGCTTTTGAGAGTGAGTTCTACCTTAGTCCATTCATCGCCCTCCATTTATATGGATCTGTAGACATAGGGTTAATCAAGTCTTTGTGATTGTAGTATTTTTGGCATGTCCCTAAGTAGGGTTTATTTGCTACTTGATGATAAATTATGCTTTCTGAGTATTCCATATTTCTATACCACTTTGGCGGATCAATATGTTCGACTTTGTAATTGGGTTTTACCATTAAGCTGAAAAAATCTTGCTAAATGGTGTTTCAGTTTCTTCTTTTAAATGTGGACATCATTCCTTAATGTGTCCGATTCAGTGACGTTGATCTGTTAGTAGTAATTCTTATTTATCTGTATAGTCCTCTGGTTCTTCATCACTACTTGCTTGATTTATTTACATACCTTATTGATTGTGTTGCAGGTTTATTATATACTGGACGAGATCTTAATAGCTGGTGAACTCCAGGAATCAAGCAAGAAGGCAATTCACCGTCTAATAGCTGCACATGTAAGATTCCATAGTACACATTTTGGTCATATACTTAATCCTTCAAAGATCTCAACTTCTATCATCTGTTTGCAGGATTCTATAGTCGAGACTGCTAAAGTAGAATCAAATACTGTCAGCAGTATAATTGCACAGGTAACTGATTAAACACACACACACACACACACACACATATATATCAGGGTGGGTTCACGGGAGAACCCTAAAATATGGAGAACTGGAAACCCTCTATTAATTGTTGGATCTAAAAAATAGATGGCTTCGATTCATGGGAACTCATTGGTTACATTCATTTTACCCACCATTGTAGAGGGAGTTGCCATTTTCAAAATGTCCAAATTTGGTGTCGTTTTTTCGGGTTTTGTACAAGGGATTATTTGGTGCCTTGTGCATTCAGTTATTTATTTGTATTTATTACAAGCAAATTGAAACTTAAAATGTATGAACTTGTCTTGCACATTCAATCTAGCAAGTTTTTGCAAGGCAATTGCTGCTTTTGGAACTGCATTCTGGCATTCTGCACATGACTCCATGTGATGCCTTTTCTTGAAACTCATGGATGAAGACACACTTTGTCAATGTCCATGCTAGTGGTGTTAACAAGCTGAATCGAGTCGATTAACAAGCTGTTAGACCGCAACTCGAGAAAATAATATCAGGCTCGAGCTCGAATAACTTTTTCAAATTAGTGCTCGGTCTCGGGCTGAAATATTTTCTTCAGTGTTCGAGCTTGAACTCAATGCTCGTTTAGCAATTTTGAGCTATGACCTAACATTCAAGCTTTATAAGCTTGTTTATAGGGTCAAACAAGAGATTGATCAACTCTTTTATTGGCTCAATCTCGATAATTTTTATATTTTAATTATGATTTATGGACATGTTTGACTCGAAAAAGTGTATGTTTGGTCCGGATCAACTTAAGAATTTATTCAAGTTGTTGAACGAGTTGGGTCGAACATTAGTGTTATGGAACATGACTTTAAACGAGCTTTATATTTATAATTGACTCGAGGAGCTTGGATGTGAGTACTTGTCAGGCTGTTTGTTTTAATTTATTAACGAGTTATTTCTGCATAAATATGTTTGTATATGGATATAAGTTTTGTCAAATGTAAATGGTAAAAAAATAATCTTTGTTTTTTTCATTTTACTTAACATATATATATATATATATATATATATATATATATAGGTAAAATATATATATATATATATATATATATATGGAAGCGTTCAAATAAAAACTACTCAATGTGTACAAATCGTGAAAACCTCATTCAATCAATCATAATTTTTCATTTTGTTCATTTTTTTATAATTATGAGAAGTTGATTAATCATTTTTATTGTGGAGCGTGTTAATCATGGATATTATCATCTTCATTATTTTAATTTTAGAGAAATACATGAAACAATTTTACTAAAATTTCATTAAATATTATATGAAATAATTTCATAACCATATATGAAACAAATTCATCAAAAAAGTATTATATGAAACAATTTCATAAGATTAAACAACGAAATTGACGTATGAGTGTGGTTTGTACGGTTTGTACAAATGAGGGTGGTTTTCATTTGATCGCTCCTCTCTCTCTCTCTCTCTCTCTCTCTATATATATATATATATATATATGTTTGTACAAATGAGGGTGGTTTTCATTTGATCGCTCCTCTCTCTCTCTCTCTCTCTCTCTCTATATATATATATATATATATATATATATATATACTAGAAGGGTACTCGTGCAATGCATCGAGACACATCTTGATTTCAGTGTTTCATTTTATTCATTTTTTATGTCGATATAATGTGGTTTTGAGAAAACGATAATTTTTTATTTTTGAATAAAATATAAATTTAAAAATATTATAAATTTCTAAAAAAAATATATCGATATCAATATCAAATTAATCTTTTTAAAAGTTCTTGTGTTTTTGTGTAATTTCCTTAATTCAAAATTTTAATTATAATTTAATTTAGGTTAATAAATATAATTTTGGTAAAGATAATAACTAAGTATTCTGTTAGAATTTAATGATTATCCTATTTATATTTTAGCTTTTTTATATTTAAAATGAGATGTTTATCATGTATTTGATTATGTTTATCTGTAGTTAGTTACAATAATTCAAAGATAGACCTTTGATAAGTTGTACTTTTGCATAATTTACTTGTAATCTTGAATTTTAAGATATATATATATACTATATTATAAAGCATTTGACAAAAAGTCTTAAAAACCATTTTTTATGCATGAAGACATAAAGTACTGTATATTAATGCATATTACTTAAAATTCAAGATCACAAGTAAATTAGGCATAAGTATAATTTATTGAAGCTTCATATTTGAATTCACGTAACTAACTTCGGATAAACATAACCAATTAGAGGATAAACATCTAATTTTTTTAAAAACTAAAAAAAATCTAAAATATAATTAGGATAATTATCGAGTTCTAACAAAATAATTAATTATTATCTTTATAAAAAATTATATTATTAAACCTAAATTAAATTATAATAAAAAAATTGAATTAGAAAATTACACAAAAAATATGAATTTTAAATAGTTAATTTGATACTAATATCGATATATTTTTGTCAAATTTTTATGATATCTTTAAATTTATATTTTATTCAAAAATAAAAACATTATCGCTTTTTCAAAATCACATAAGACCATATTATAACATCGATTGAGATAAATGATAAAATGAAATATTAAAATCAAGATGTATCTCGCTGCATTGCGCGAGTACCCTTCTAGTATGTATGTATATATATATAGGGTTGGGTTCACGTGAGACCAACCTGTTTTCGTGAGACCTGTGAGACCACATTTTTACACGTAACCTTCACAGCAAAAACACTGTGAAGGTTTAAAAAAAGTCGAACCTTCACAGCAAAAACACTGTGAAGGTTTAAAAAAAGTCGAACCTTCACAGCAAAACACTGTGAAGGTTTTAAAAAGTCACCTTCACAGCATTTTGCTGTGAAGTTTCAAGTGTAAAATGTTGGTCTCACGGGTCTCACGAAAATAGGCTGGTCTCACATGATCCCAAGTCTCTCTCTCTCTATATATATATATATTTGGGATCATGTGAGGCAAATGTTGTTTTCGTGAGACACGTGAGACAATTTTTTTACTTTGAAACTTCACAGCAAAATGTTGTGAAAGTAACTTTCACAGTGTTTTTGCTGTAAAAGTTCGGCTTTGTTTTACCTGCACAACGTTTTGCTGTGAAGTTTCAAGTGTAAAGATGTTCTTACGTGAGATTTATTTATTTAACCATTTACTTAATTACCAATTTAACATTTTGATTTTCTTTAATTCAAAAGCTTGGTTAATTAGGGTTGGATTAAAATTGTTAGATGGAATAAAGCGATTAAGCATCGGGACTTTGTATCTTTTTTGTGGTTCTCATTTGAACTTTTCTATATTACATTATTAATAAATTGTATATTTGTTTTAGTTTTTAAAAAATGGAAAAAGATACAAAATGACCGAAAAATGCCTTTTAAGAATTAATAGAGAATTTTAACGGCTGTTAGTAGGAGAGAACAGATAAAACCAGTCAATCTTACATACATTAAAACATTTTAATGACAAATTTCATTTAAAAAGTGACATATAATCAAGAGAAAATTAAAAAAGATCCAACGTTACGAGACTGTTTATATAAGGCTCATCCGGTAAACTTTTATTGAAAATAATATTAAATACTTATTGGATAAGAGCCGTCACTCTCACTTACTGGATGAAACTTTCAACCCTTATCATTGTTTTTTATCGGATAAATTTTTTAATCTTTTTTATGTTTATTTGATAAAATAAAAAGAGTTAAATGCTCATCTAATAAACATTTAGAAAAGAACCCCTAATTTATCATTCAAAACAGGAAAATTAAGTTCATCAGTTTTTTTTACCTTTGTCAAATTTCATTTTATGAGGTGTTTGAGATTGTTTATTTGAAATAACTTATATTTTTCTACATAAACACTTATTAACCTATTATAAGTCAGAAGGATTTAACTTTTTTAAAAACTTCTTATTACCAATTTGACACCGATATAAATTATTTATCCAAACAAAAATGCTTATTACCGTATCATCTTGTTGTTTTTATAAACAACCATTAATTACTTTCTTTTCTTTCTCGGCGTAAATGCTATAGATTCCTAAACTACAGAGAGCGTAAACCCCAAAAACCTTCACAAAATTTTCTCCCTAGCTCACTCCCGCTCCGTCGCCGTCGCTGTCATCTGCTCCGTCGCCTTTGTTGCTTCGTGGCGCTGGTCCTCTGCCTGCTGGTTTAGCAAAAGGTTTTGTCTGTCTCGTTGTTCTTATTTTCCCTCTGTTTAACGCACATATGCCACTTTAATGTTGATTCACTAAATTCCTAATCTGATTCATAAGCATTGCCACTCAATTCCCACTTCCATCCTTTTATGTGTCATGCTAGATTCACATATCAAAATATGAAATAGTTCAATGAATAATGATATCAAGAATTGGAATGTTCAGGTTAGATTCTATAGGCCAGGGGAAACAATAAGTTGGTGCTTGGTGGCATGCTCATCAAGTTGAGCATGCTTGATTGTGTTTGGAAAATGCGTTGTTTATCGAACCAACTCATGTAGGATATGGCTGTACGATTCACGATGGAAATGGTTTAAAGTAATCATTGTAACACCATCGTTATATATTACATAATAACATGTACCGTTTTGTTAAAGTCCATTTATCTTTTGTTCATAGGGTTGTCTAGGAGCAATAGATGGAGCTTACGTAGAAGTAACCGTACCCGAGTCCGATCAACCAAGGTACCGGACAAGAAAGGGACATATAATCACAAATAAATTAGGTGTGAGCACTTGTGGCATGAATGTTGTCTATGTTTTTGCTAGTTGGGAAGGTTGAAATACCGATTCTAGGGTTATACGGATGTAGTTACTACTTATTAGGCAAAATAAAATGAAGGTCCCGCCCAATAAGCTATACAAAAGGAAATAACCGACTACAAATATTTGCTTACTTGAATCATTATTATTTGGGAGTTTTGAGATACTAGGTGTCATTTACAGGAATGGGAAGACGTTGGTTTTGTACCTAGGAACGAGAAGGAATACTTTCATATGAAGCACTTTATGAGCTAGAAATATTATTGAGAGATGTTTTGGTATCTCAAAGAAGTGTTGGGCTATATTATGAAGTTCTTTCTATCCAATAAGATTTCCAGGGTGAATGGTCGTATCATGTGTTTCACTTCATAATTTTTTTATTAGGGCGTAAGAGACTATTGATCCTTAGGAAAATATAACAATCATACTTGATGATATGCTTATTGGGGAAGATCAACCAAATGAGTTTGACTCCATTAATGTTGTTGAGGCAAGTGATAAATGGTTTCAGTGGAGAGATGGTTTAGCCCAAGAGATGTTTGAATCTTGGATATTAAACAAAGTTAGATTTGAATTTCTGATATTGTTATTGTATTTTGGATGACAAACAAAGTGGCAGCTCTGGACTCCGATTCTCTATCATCGCATTGAAAAATCGAAGTCTCAACTCTCAAATTCGTTGTCTCGCATTGTCTGCATCGCTGAAGGCCTGCTGCATACAGTACACTTGTATCATCGGTGGTTTTGCTTCACTCTCACCTCAGCATCTTCCTTAGACTTCACTCAGTGTCTCTTTCTGGCATCTTCTATCTTGATTTCAGGTGCTTATCTTACTTTTATTATGCCTTGAACAACTTATTGAAACAATTCTTACCTTTTGAATTGTTTGGTATTTAGCAATGTAATTGTTTTTTTGTCGTTGTCGTCTTAATGATGTACTTATGATTAATGTGTTGTGCTTCTGTCATTGAAAGAAAGTTTTGTACTCTCGTGTATGGGGCTATTTAAACATTTTAGCTTCTCGTGACGTGACAGTGGTTCAAGAGTTCTAAAGTAAATTTTCTTCAAATTTTGTTTGGATATCTGTTAGTTTACACTTATAGGCAACATGGAGCATGTGTCTTTAGGTGGTTTAAAGTTGGAGTGTACTATTCTATGCTAGTGCCACAGTGCGGAACTGGTTAGGTGGCTGCCTTTCATAATTGATACATATTTTGATTGTACAAACCATACATATGATATATGATTCTTGATAAAATCATGCATCAGCACTCAGCAGAAATACATGTAACAGCCTCTCCAGCAATTGTTTGATTATCAGTTCTTTTACGTAATTGGACTTATATGCTAATGAGTATGGTATGCAAGCTTTATTCACCAATTCTTACAGTTCAGGAGGATTTAGAAGTGTTCAACGGCTATGGCTACAAATAAGGGTCGGACAAGTAGTTTCTCACGGAACTTTTCAGCTGCACCCACCTCTTCCATACCTGGACTCAAGTATGGACCAAATGGCACAATCTTTCTTTCATCTGGCGTACCAGATCTTGACAGTAATAATATTCCTTTTTTTTGTTGTTGAAGTATTTTAACAAAATATACATGAATATTTCAAAAATGATTCCCTGATGGGATAGCTGTTTTTGTTATATCTAGAGATTTTAGGTGGAGGCTTCCATTTAGGAAGTCTGGTGATGATCATGGAAGACACTGAAGCACCTCATCACATGCTTTTGTTGAGGAATTTCATGTCTCAGGGATTAGTACACAACCAACCTATTCTTTATGCAAGCCCGTCCACGAACCCAAGAGCTTTTCTTGGAACCTTGCCAACTATGTTAGTGTCGAAAGATGACAGATCTCGTAACACTGATGCAGAACAGGTACTATTCTCCTCCCGCCTTCCCATTTTGGCCTTAAGAGCATGCACCTCTCATTTTATAACTGCATCATGGAAATTGTGCCTTTTGTGAGCTTGTAGAAGGATTTGCGGATTGCTTGGCAATACAAGAAGTACCTTGGGGAAAATAAGCCACATATCGAGGAGCGAGGTAACCTGTTTGCATGGAGATCCTTGTGATTAGAAATTGAAGATTGGTAAACCAGATATATTTGAAAGATATATGCTACTTGTCAAAGTGGTGGATATATAATTAGATTTGCCGGTGGCAACAAACCAAACTTCAACGTTAGCATGTGTTGCAACTCTTACCTGATATAGAGTTCTTTAACCTGTATAACTAAAATGTTATTAAGAAATTACTTCTGTCATGCAACTATTTACTATGAGCATTCTGTACAAAAGTATTTTATAAAGATTAAAGCATAAGGTCACTTTTGAGAATTTTTTATGCAAAATATGTCTTTGTGTGTGATGCAGATGGGAAAGTAGAGTACTGCAATGAATTCGACCTACGGAAGCCCATAGAAAAGCATTTAATAATGGGAAATCGTGTGGAGTGCATTAGCCTTTTGGATTGTTCAAGTCTTGCTGGATTCCGCAATAGTTGTTCAAAGTTTTTATCTCAACTTCCAAGGTACTAATGCTATTAGTGTTCGTTAGCATACACTTATATATCAGAGTAATAGTTTCCATGGAATACATTAATTGTATTATATTCTCTCTTGGAACAATAAAACCCGGGGGGGGGGGGGGGGGATTGATTTTATCAAAATGGAAAATGTTTGTCTTCTTTGCTTCCCTTGTTTTCCTTGGCTTTACTTTTTTCTGGTGAACATTAAAAACTACATATCGATATTACCCTAAATGAGAAAATGTTAAGTTGCTTTATGGTGAAACTAGGAATGAGAGAACTCAAAATGCACACATGATGTAAGTAGTCCAATAGGAGTGTAAAATAATAAAATCTCTTACGAGGGCAGTTGAGACGTAAGAAAATTTGTAGGTGGTGTTGAAAAAGAAGAGCAAGTGTTTACTCTTAGTATCTAGAAACTGCTTACATTGAATGTACTGTGAGCACACATAACTTGCTATTCTTTTTCCTCTATAAGTTTTTTTTCCTCGATATCTTGCCCTTCCTTTTGATGATTGTTTAGGCCAGATTGGTGGTTGGAAAAACTCAAGTCTTTTCATCAACAAAATTGCATATGCCTTTTAGTGCAGACTTTGCTACTTTATAATACAATTAGGAAAATCAGTAAGTGCACTTGGTTGCACGCTTAACCACTCTCAATGCAGCTATGGCTATATACCATAGAGACCAGAGAGAGTGACGATTTGGTAAAGAGTTACAGCCCTGAATCATAATGCTTACCAGGGTAAGGGGACGAACAAAGACCAATGCAACATGTAGAATTATGTTGAATGGTAAAGATTGTTTTGTCATCTCAAATCGCAAAACAGGTAAAGGACTTCTGATGTTCATATGGTGAGATTATTCATGTTCATAATTCAAGTTGCATCTACTTGCTAGTGGTCAAGTCATGCAAAGAGTGACTTTCTGGTATTTCGTGGTAAATAAATAGTATCTATGTTGATCCCGATCCTACCAAGGTCAAATATCTTTTAGGTCCAAACTCACTTATGACGACATATGCAATGTGTCTATGCCAATATTGTTTCTTCTTCACTGCAGCACATTTATTTGTAAATTTATTTTCTTAAAATATGTCTAACCTGATTTTCATTATTCTGGTCAGGTATGATGGAAATATTACAAGTGCAGGGCGAATTGCCATCCAATCATTGTGTGCTCCACAATGTGAATATTTTGACAAGGTAAGTAACCACATAATTTGTTTACTGCCTGGAGCCATCATTCCCTTCTAGCCTTGTATAACTCCAAGTTTCCATAAATCCACAAGAACATATTCATGTTGTTTCAGCAGCTCTACTGAATCTTGAAGTTCTGCTACCATATATGCCCGCCGTCCAAAATAAATGTCCACATCTCTATTTTAGTTTGTCCCAAATCTGGGAGTTAATTGCACGCTATAGCACCGCTATAGCGGTTAGTGGTCATTTGGGAAATAGCGGTCTGCAAATAGTGGCTTGGAATAGTGGTACCGCAAATTGCGGCACTAAACACTGCTATTTGACCTGAAACAGCGGCCGATATAGCGCTATTTTTTTCTTGGTCTTTTTTTTGTTTTGTTTTTGGGCTATTTTGAGTAGCCTGTTTTGTTTGAGACCCAAGTTACTTTATTTGACCAAAGTTTAAGACTTCTTTTTGACCCAAACTTTAAGACTTTTTATTAGGTTAAAACTTAAAAGAACTTGATAAATTCCAAATCCAGACCAATTTTGTATACAAGCAACGCCACTAGGATCACTTGTCTCCATACTCTACTTAGATATACGATTCTTCCCCTCAGTCGGACTCTCATCCACTCTCCAGATTCTACCAGCAACATTACAATTTTGTTTTCACCCATTGTCCCATACTCCTATTTATTATTTTGTTTTTTCAATTTATAAACATAATTGTATAGCTATCGTTTTTCAGTTTATAAAGATAATCGTATAGCTTTGTTTGTTTGACCCATTTATTGTTTTGTTTTCAATGTTAGGCATCTTTATTAATTTTATTTTAATAGGGCAGTAATTACAATATATTAAGTAATATATATATATATATACATATATATATATATATTATATCCATATTCATTTTATGAATGCAATTTCTTTAACCGCTGTACCATCCGCGATAACTGCGATTTCAGATCATGGTCTCGACCACGATTTCCGCAATCGACTGCATTAACTGCTTAGCCCAAAATAAGTGTCCACTTACAAAATTAAATGCCTACCTTCCAATTCCATCTTTAATTATGAGATGAGAAAGCAATTGATTATTCCCTCTATCCTTAAGGGTAAAGTTGTTAGTTAGTTGATTAGAAAGTGTAATAATTACACATTTCTAAAAATATGTGCATTTTTCATTGTGGACTTTTATTTTGGGACGGAGGAAGTACTTCTTGAATGGTTATACTTCTCTTCATTAAAACTTTGAATATATCTCACACTAATCTTGTAGGAATGGGATATGCTTTCCTTCATTAGATCATTGAAAAGCATGGTACGGTCTTCAAATGCGGTTGCTTTTCTAACCTTCCCAGCTTCTCTTGTATCACCGTCAGTGTCAAAAAGATGGCAACATCTGGCTGATACCTTGTTGTCTGTTAAAGCAATTCCAGGTAATTGTTGTTTTCTTGCATCAACCATGCTATTGAAACCCTGGTTATGTAGCATCTTTTCACAAGTAAAACTTAAACAGATGAGGACAAGGAGCTTGCTAATCTCCTAACCGGTTACCAAGATATGCTTGGGCTCTTAAGTGTACATAAGGTTGCACGTTTCAACACACAGGTATGACATTAACGTTTTGTTACTTTATCATTGCTTTTGGGTTTGGAATTGTGGAATTGTAGAATTTCTATCTAAAGGGTACATTGGTTATAGTATTCTAAGAGATAATAGTTTCGCAGTTCATAGGAGATTTGGCATATTTTAGATGGGCTGCAGGAGAATTTCTTTTCCTGATAGGCAGTGGACTCGATTTCAGATAGACACAATTGCTAAAGTTATTTATGCAATGATACGAGTCATCTTTCATGAACAATTACTCATAGCCATTGTAAGCAATATCTTACGTCAAGGGTTAAAAGTGTCAACTAACATAGTCAGGGGTGAAATTGTCTTTGTGTAGTGATTGGGCACAGGCAGATGTATTTTAGCCCGCAAAAGTTGTCTCACATAGAATATCTTCTACATCCTATCTGAAATGTCAACTAACAAAGTCAGGGGTGAAACTGTCTTACAAGTTACATGGAATATCTTCTACATCCTTCCTGAAACATACCAATCGTCCTATAGAACTATTTCCATTATTCTAGAGTTGTAAAATACTATGTGTTCATTGAAATTAGTTTTCAATTTGACATTGTATCATATGTGATTTACATCCCTGAAGGTTCCAGTAATTCTAGATGCAACAACGTACTCCATAAAGTTGCAAAAACGACGATCATTGGTTTTAGAGTGTCTAAATCAAGCACCTGTTGATGGGTCAAGTGGGAGTTCTTATGGCACTTCTGGTAGTTGTTCTGGCTCTTCTAAGACTGGCACCCTTGATTTTTGAAGTTCGACTCGTTTGTGTAGCTGAGCTTTATCCAGTAAGTAATTCAATCTGTTAACTTGGTGTAGTTGCCTGATTCATCAAAATGTCATGCATCCTGAAATGACAGATTTTGGCATGAAATCTTAGAGGTTTTTATTCAAATATATGAAGTCATTCAATGCTGTGTTTTCTGTTTTGTTTACATTTAGGGTTATACTGTCATACTTTATTATACCTGTCTTCCTCTTTTTGTCACACTTTTCACAAGCTAGAAGTCTTCATGGAAACAACCGCTCTTCTCATTGGGGTAGAGGTCAGGTTTGCTTACATCTTACCTACCCTAACCCCACCTCCAAGTGGGATGTACGGGGTTCGTTTCGTTTGGTTATTGTCATACCTGACTCCCTCCGACCCAAAACAAGTGTTTATATTTTTTTATTTTAGTTTGTCCCAAAATAAGTATCGACTTCTAAAAGCAAGACCTATGTTCATATTAAGGGTAAAAATTCATTATGAGATGGAGAAATTCGTTACCATTTACTTCCCTCTATTGTTAAGGGTAAATTGTCATATATGCAAGGGAAAAGTCCATAAAAACCCAACCAGCTTTTCCATTTTGAATGGTTTAGTCCCTAAACTTTTTTTAATAAAAAAACCATTAAACTTTCTAATTTTGAATGGTTTAGCTCCTAACACTTTTTTGAATTTAAACTTTCTCATTTTGAATCATCAAGGCCCTGAGCTTTTCTTTTGAATAAATAAACCATCGAAATTCTAAAAATTGGTTTACTAAGCTACCTAAAATTGGCTAGGAAAATTTTAAAGTAAAAAAAACTTAAATCGGTTTTAGCCTATGCTGTTAATTGCGGCGATATCTCGGATAGCGGGCTTGTGCAAAATATCGGCGGTAAAATTGTGGTAGAGCAATTAGCAGCACAATTTACTGCAATTTTGACTGTTATTTAATGAAAATTTCGTTCGCCAATTAACACAATGCTTGAAGATGCCAGACTAGGGTAGCAGTCTAGGGGGACATACAACTAGCTGAGGTGGGGGAGAGTGGGAAGCTAGCCTAAACGAAGAAATGAACGTATTATGTTGACTCTGATGTTGAACCTATTGCTTGTGATTAGCTCGTTTATGAACACTTTTCCTATTTTGCAAATGATATGTTTATGTAGGCATATTATATATATAATTATATATAATTCTAAGAATTATTATATGAACCGCTATTTTTGGACTGCTATACCACCGCTAATGCACGGGTATAACTGCTATTTCAAATATCGGTCATGACCGCAATTTTGTATTTTCACCGCTATAACAGCATAGGTTTTAGCCTTCCCAATCCTACGTCATTCAAACCCCTTGTCGCCTCATCTTCGTTTGCTCTCTATCATTGCCCATCACCGCTGTTGGCCATGCATCGATCTCACTGGTGTTTTTTTTATTCTCCATCTTTTTTGGTATGCCTATATGTGCTCCATTAAATTGTTGTAAAAGAGGGAGAATCAAAAGAACAAAAAACAGATAAAAAAGATGGAGAGCGATGGCAGGGGCCAACGGCGACAATGGTCTGTAGAGAGAACAGACAATGTTGGGACAACGAGGAGCGGCAAGGGGGAGTTGATGCCGTTGTGTGCTAAGGGTTTGAATGGCATAGTGTTTGGGAATGATAAAACTGATTTATGTTTTTTTTACTTAAAATATTGCTAGTCGGTTACATGTAACTTTTTTTTGGTTGAAAAGATATAGATGACCAATTTTTAGAAGTCCTATGGTTTATTTATTAAAAAATGTTTAGGGACTTGATCATTCAAAATGAGGAAGTTTAATGGTTTTTTCATTCAAAACAAGTTGAGGGACCAAACCGTTCAAAATCGAAAAATTGGTTGGGTTTTTTTTTTTTGAACTTTTCCTTTTATTTAATTAAAAAGTGTAATAATTACACATCTAAATCTCTGTGCCTTTTTTTCATTTCAGACATTTATTTTGGAATAAAGGGAGTATTATCTGTGTTTGTGAAGAGCATAGATTGATTGAAAGGTGTCAATGGGAGTCTTCATTGTGCAAATTTACACATACAAGCGTCGACATGTGCAGTATAAATACACACACATTCGTATACATATGTTCATCTAGCAATGATCCACCCAAAACGCCGTCCGTGCAAATAAGACTTTATTTCTGACTTGTATTATACGAATGAATTCCCCTCAGACAGAGTCTGTGGACGATTTACTGTACTTTCTGTATTCTCTTGTTGCATTTTATTGACTCGAGGTGTTAAACTTTGCAGGAATGGTCACCATGTCTAGCGGTTCGCCTTTTAGAACATGTATGAGTAGCCATTTTTGTTGTGAGCACGTGGAGCAAAGACAACCGGGGTGTTCATGGAAACATCTCTACCCGTGGGGTAGATGCAAGGTCGGGTTCATTCGATCTGGCCTTTACCTGAAGCCGATGAGACCATACCTTTTTAACCTTTTGCAGACAGATGAACCCTGAATGTCAAAAGTTAATGTTGAATGACCAAAACTGTAAAACTGGAGATGGTGTTTAGATGTGCTTATATTGTTTGTAGTTGTAAGCTTCACGTGATATGTTGTGGAAGTATTTAAATTTAATTTCCTGTAGCAGGTGTGAAGTTCATAAAAAATTCATAATTTCGACTTCACGTCACAAAAATCAGATCCTTAGGGGTCGTTTACTAAACGTTTATCCGGTAAGTGTTTATAGGGTAATCTTCCTTATTGGAGGAATATGGCAGGGGTCAAAAATCTTACCTGGTAAGAGCAATGATAAATATGGAGGGTCTTACTCGGTAAGTGATGGTGACGACTCTTACCCGTGTAAGTGTTTACTCGATAAATTATTGCATATGATACCATTTTGATGTATTACAATATTACCCGGTAAAATAAATTATAGTGTTCGACTTGCCAGAAGTAGTATTTGTCATATTACTTTTAAATTTATCTTGGATTGATCTTCTTTTGCCTAGACAATCCAATCCACTTTGGTAACGATGTTGTCCTCGCTTCAAGTAGTCTTCGATTTTGTTTCTTGGATCAATACAGATAAATATAAGACTTTTACAAAGAACAATTCTATCTATTTATCTTCCTGAAACATAAGCTACATATCGGATTCCAACAAGACTATTATGAAGTGTAAAATTCGGATGATGAATGATGAAATCGAATATTTGGAACCAAACATTAAGTCCTGAATATTGAGTTCCAAATCCGAACATTTAATCTGGATATGGAGAACTGAGTCCACATTATAGGATCTGGACACAGAATCTGGATTATGAGAACTGAGTTCTCATAATGGATCCGAACATTGAATATGACTGATAAAGTTTGTGTTAGGATATCAGATCTTGATATCAAATCTGAATATCAAATGTTATGATTCAGATATAACTATTCCAAGGTTAAAACTAAGAATTCTTCTAATTAAATTTTGGATCAGATGTATTTGTATTATTATCATATCATCCATACAAACAAACATTATGGTATAAATTTGCTATTCATTAACCAAAATAGTAAAAGAATAACTAAAACCAAAAAAACCAATTAGAGTATTCTTATTCGGTTAACTATATGGTTTAATCCAAAACGATTTTGGTTCATGTGGGTTATTCATCTTCTGAAATTTTTCGATACTGTCTGACCCAGTCACTAAAGTTTTTGGATCCGCCATTGACCTCAACTAATCACATGGATCGTCCTAGAGTTAACGGTCAAACAAATCCTACAGTTGTCCTAATGTTATATTTTAGTCGTCTTCACAAAAACTTTTAATAAATTACGTAAATTAATCAAAATATATAAACAATTCATTAGAGGTTTGGTCATTTTACCCGTCCTACTTGTCTTACCAGACGTAAACATTACCAAACATAAACATAAACAGTTGTCTTCTCCTGTCTTGTTATGTTTTGTTCTATCTTCTCATGTTTGAATACGTAAACGCACCCAATAAAAATATTGAACCGACCTTTAAACAACAAACCCGATATATTAATAGTTAATGTCCTTAAAAGTTAACCATAAGGGCGGCGTCTGATTGGTTTGAACTTGACTCCAAAAGTCAAAAGTACCAGGAGGTCCCAGGTTCAAATCCAATGAGAAATAAAAATCTCCTTGTGGCCACAGAGGTTCAAATAAATTAGTCGGCTCGCATAACGGATTAGACATCCAGGTTAATAAAAAAAATTGTCCTTAAAAGTTAGGGTTTTAGTTGTAACATTTTGGAAAAATAAGTCAAGAAATCAGCATCAACCCTAAATCTTGAAGTCTATGATGATCAAATACCATTTCCATGAAAGTAGAGCATCTAAAATATACATTCAACACGTGCCATATACCTTCACCTAATAAATGGAGGCAAACATGGAACCTCGTAATCACCATGAACCCATCGTCTATATCGCATCTACCTAATCATCCACACCTGCAACTCTTCTTCCATCCATCCATCATCAATGCATGCATGCATGCCACATCATCATCACCACCACCACCATTAACATCCATCTTCAGACGTCTGTCTAGCTAGCTAAGCATGTCTTCATCTGAATCATCATCTCCTCCAAAAACCATACTCATAACTGGTGCAGCTGGTTTCATACCTTCCCATGTCACCAATCGTCTCGTTTCCAACTATCCAACTTACAAGATCGTCGCCCTCGATAAGCTCAGTTACTGTTCCAGCCTCAAGAATCTTCAGCCATGTTTCTCATCTTCAAACTTCAAGTTCGTCAAAGGCGACATCGCCAGCCCAGATCTCATCAACTATCTCCTGGATGCTGAAGACATCGACACCATTATGCACTTTGCAGCTGAAACCCACGTCGATAATTCGTTCGGAAACTCGTTTGAGTTCACCACCAACAACATCTATGGAACCCATGTGTTGTTAGAAGCTTGTAAGGTCACTAGACGAATCAAACGCTTCATCCACGTGAGTACGGATGAGGTTTACGGTGAGTCCGATCTAGATACAGATTTAGGGAACCATGAAGCGTCGCAATTGCTTCCCACGAACCCGTATTCGGCTACTAAAGCGGGTGCGGAGATGTTGGTCATGGCGTACCATCGATCGTATGGGCTCCCGATTATCACGACTCGAGGGAATAACGTCTATGGCCCGAACCAGTTTCCGGAGAAGCTCATACCTAAGTATATTTTGCTTGCGATGAGGGGTGATCCATTGCCGATTCATGGCAACGGATCCAATGTGCGAAGCTACTTGTTTTGTGCGGATGTCGCTGAGGCGTTTGACGTGATACTTCATAAAGGTGCGATCGGGCATGTTTACAATATCGGGACGAAGAAGGAGCGGAGTGTCCTCGACGTTGCTCGAGATATCTGTAAAATTTTCGGGTTTGATTTCGAAAAAAAGGTACATTTTGTTAATGATCGGCCATTCAACGATAAACGATACTTCTTGGATGATCAAAAGCTCAAAAAACTCGGGTGGGAGGAACGGACTCCATGGGAAGCGGGACTAAAGATGACGATCGCATGGTACCGTGAAAATCCCGATTGGTGGGGAAATGTCGGGCCTGCGCTTCATCCTCACCCTCGAATCGTAACATCGATCCCAATATTGCACTACGAAGAAGAGTTCTTGATGCACTATACGATGGGAAGCTCGAAAAGCGATCTTAAGTTCTTGATCTATGGCCGGACGGGTTGGATTGGCGAATTGTTGGGAAAGCGATGCACCGAAAAAGGGATCACATATGCTTATGGTCGAGGAAAGCTTGAAGATCGAAACATGTTATTGAACGATATACGGAGATTACAACCGACTCATGTCTTTAACGCGGCCGTTGTAGCCGGGAGGCCGAATGTGGATTGGTGCGAGACACACAAGATCGAAACCATTAGAACAAACGTCGTTGGAACCCTAAATTTGGCCGATGTTTGCAACCAAGAAGGTATTTTTATGATGAACTATGCGAGCGGATGCATCTTCGAGTACGATAAGGACCATCCTCAGGGTTCAGGGGTCGGGTTCAAGGAAGACGACAAGCCTAATTTCACCGGATCGTTTTACTCCAAGACGATGGCTATGGTAACCACAACTTTCGTACTTTATTTTTACGTGCTACAAAGCATTTGATAAAAGTCTTAAAAACAACTTAATTATCATTACAAAGTAATTACTAGATGAGTTTACGGTATAAACGCTACATTCTTCTTGAACTACGTTCAGGTGGACGAGATGTTACGGGACTACGCAAATGTTTGCTCGTTACGACTTCGGATGCCGATATCGTCCGACTTAAACAACACACGGAACCTCATAACGAAGATCACACGTTACAACAAAGTGGTAAACATACCGAACAGCATAAGCGTGCTCGATGAGCTCCTACCGATATCGATCGAAATGGCAAAGCGGAAATGTAAAGGTGTTTGGAACTTCACAAATCCAGGAGTTGTGAGCCACAATGAGATCTTGGAGTTGTATAAACAATACATAGACCCTAACTTCAAATGGGAAAACTTTGATTTACAAGAACAAGCCAAAGTAATATTGGCACCAAGAAGCAACAATGAGTTGGATGTTTCTAAGCTCAAGAAAGAGTTCCCAGAGTTGTTGTCTATTAAAGATTCTATCAAGAAGTACGTTTTCGAACCCAACAAAAGAGTTAAATGATCGAACCCGATCTGATCCGAATCCGACGACAGAACCGGGGTTGTGGCTAGCCATCCAGGGTGTTCGGCCGTATGAAATTGGATTTTGGCATCCATTATACGAGCTAGAATGAAAAGGGTTTGTGCGTGATACTATAATTAAGGTGTCGAAACTCATCCGCTCGGGACACGAATTTATGTTAATGTCTCGATTTTTTGATATTTTTGCAATGCGTGACTCGTGAATGATCGGTTTTTGTAGCAGCTAGTAATGTTATTTGTTTGTAGGGGATTTTTATTCCTCCTTGAAATTAAACCTGGGACTTCCTAGTACTTTTGACCCTTAGAGTCAAGCTCAAACCAATCAGACATTTTAAGACTGAATTGGCCATTGGAGGCTTGGAGCTACTATTTTGCTGTCTTTGTGTGCAATAAAAACATGGGCCATTGATGATTCCTCGAAAGATAAAAAAACAAGGATTAAAATGTATAGTTAGAGTTATTAAAAATATGTCTACTTATAATTATAAGGATGGTGTTTGATTGGTTTGAGTTTAGGTTCCAAAGGTCAAAAGTGCCTAAGATCAAGTGTCTCGTGGTTCTAGGTTCAAATCCAATGAGAAATAAAAGTCTTCTTGTAGTCATAGAGGTTCAGATGAGGTGACTCCGGATTACCCGCAAAGCAGGTGGTCGCCTTTAGATTAGTCGGCTCGCATAACGGGTTGGAAATCCAGGTTAATAAAAAATATATATGTCCAGTTAGAGGTATGTATCTAAATGTTTAAAATATCAAATATGAGGTATTGTACTGAAGGTTTAAAAGTATGTTTAAAAGGTTAAAAATTATGCTTGATCACGAATGGTGAGTGACAGGTCCACTTGGTTTGTAGGATTGTTTTTTAGGGATTTGGATTGAAATAGATTTGAAATTATTGGTGTGTTTGGTTTGTATGATTTGGAATGAAATTGGATTTCGTTATTTATAAATAATTTATAGAAAAAATTATAAATAAATATAAAAACAATTGAATTACATTTTTTATTAATTAATCGATTATTACAAAACAAATGTTTTTAATCTTTTTTAAAACCTTATTGTATACAATCTTACAAAATCCCATGAAATCCCGAACACTCCCTAAGGATTTCAAAATTCTATGTTTGAAGGATCTTAGGTCCCGTTTGGTTTGTCGGATTGAATTGGATTTGGAATTGAATTACATTTCAATCCCATGATTGGTTTGTTGGACTGTCCAGATTTGAAATCCCGAGATTTAATTGAAATCACACAAACGTAGGATTTTGAAATCCCACGGAGGGGGTTGGTATTTAATAGGATTTGTATATAATATTATTTTAAAATATATTAAAAACATTTGTTTTGTAATAATCAATTAATAAAAAGGTAATTTAATTATTTTCATAATAATTTATAATTTTTTTATATTATTTTATAAAGAATGAAATTTCATTCCATTCCAAACAGAATTAACGCTATAGGGATGAATGGTGCAAACAAATTAAAACTACAAGAAGAAATCATCTAATTTCGAAATTATCTTTCTACCTGCAATAAATTTGGATTGTCGTCGCAGATATTTTCAATTTATGGGGCTATTTGTTTACCTCTTGATGATGCCCTTAAGAGGTAAAGATCTGATTCGTTCAGATATTTTATTGTTTGGATGAGTTTAAAAAAAAGTTTGAATGATTAAATTAAATCTGAATCACTCCTTCACCAATCTGCGCTTTGTATGATTCAGATATGGGGTTTTTCCATGTTTGCCCTCTCTCGTCTTTTCATTTCTCTCGATTCTCCAATCGCCCCTCCATTCTCTCCTCCTCTGGGTTCTCTTTCTTCTCGATCAATCACCAACCTCTGCTCTCTCTTCTCGATCGACTATAGGAAACGCACCAGCAATGCACCTGTTTGTAACTTACCACCGATTCACAAGACAGACCTCTAGATTTCATATTCCTTATTTGTATACAAACTGACTTGAGCAATTGGTGGTACAAACTGATTCACTGATTCAAAAGAAGTTACATTGAACCCAATCTCAGGCTTTCCATTGGACCATTTCCTTTGCCAGGTATTTATAAATTTTTAACTTGATATTAAATATAATGTATTTCTTATACACTTTACTTAACAATAACTTTTTCTTACATGTTAAATGTAGAAAAATGTTATCTCTGTGATGTTGCATGTGTCAACACTCGTGGATCTTTGACTTCAAATTGCAATACAAGATATTGACTACCTGATTTTTGACGTTGACGTACCTTGTCCAAAGAAGAAAGATTCAATCATGCCCACGCACAACTCAAAAATGTTATCGAACGTGCTTTTGGTGCATTGAAAGCAAGATCCCCAATTTTGAAACAAATGGTCCCTTATCCTTTTTGAATACCAAGAAACATTGCAATTGTTTGTTTCACGATCCACAACTTTATAAGAAGATGCAATATGCAAGACCAACTATTCATGGATTACGACAATTACCCTCTGTTCATTAATGAATTTCACAAGAACAAATTGAGTACATGACTAATTTGCGAAATGAGATTGCAAATAATTGATGTTAAATGCTTCAAATTAGATGTTCTACTCAACATATTGGGATTGAACTTGCGTTTCATGTAATGTTTTGTTATGTCAAAACTGTAACAAACAATTATTATGTTTGTTTAGATTGATATGATATCATGTATTAGCTTGGACAATTAATTATTTTCTATTTTTCATTTAAAAATTTTCTTCAAAACTTTTATTAGACGTTAATTTTCACAACACCACAGATAAAATGGTAGTTTTTGGTATTGTTAGGGGCTGTTTGGCAATTGCAGCATGGTTTGGTGCAGAATGATTAAATGGTCAGAATGATTAAAAGACTTTCATGATATAATGCAAAATGAAATATAATTGTTTGATAATTGTGTACAATGAAATCAAGGCTCTTAATGTTTAAAGGAGATCTAGGATATAAAATCATTTAAAGAATTTTAAAACCATTAAAAAACAGACTTTTTTTTATCAAACAAGATCTATTTTTTAACGATTGAGAAGTTGCTTTTTAAAAAAACTGTTAAGATTTAAAAACACCCCTTATTTAGAACATCCTAAAAGAATCATTTTCTGACCCGTACTACATCAGTCTTTCAATTGTCCACTATTTTGCCAAACAGCCGCCAGCTCTTCTTGACTTCTTGCCTCAGTGTTTTTACTTGGAATTACCGTAGTCGTCTCCCCAACTCCTGTTTTGATTCGTCTCGCAACTTCGAGTACGAAGGAAACAAACGGTCATACATTATGGCTCGTTTAATCCATTCTAGGTTATCCCTATCCAGATTCTTGTAAGTTCTTTAATCTCATTTTGTTTCTATTGATCTCTCCATTAAGCAATGCGATTGTTTCGTCAAAAAACCGATGGAAAATCAATAGCCAAGATGAGACCTTGTCCTAAACTGGATGAGGGTTTTCTGTGTAATCAATGAAAAATTGCTCACCCTTTTATGATTGATCAAACTAATTACATAGTTCAGTCTGTTTGGTTTAAAATGTCGTGTTGTTTATGTTTGCACATCTTCAGTATTCGCCAATTTTGAAAGTGGTTTCTGGTTATGGTGGAGAGGGATATTCTGAGTGTTTCATGTATGAATTTAAGTAATATTATTTCGAATTTCATCTAACTATTCTGTGAAACCAAGCAATACATTAGGTTCAACCGGGAGAGGAAGATATTTATCGACAGGATCTAATAAAATCGATGAAGAACTTAAAGTAGAGGATGCTGAAACAGTTCAAGTTCCACATCCTCCAGAGGAGAAGGTAAATTCGATTTTTTTATGTTAAACATTTTTTTTATTAACCTCGATATCCAACCCCCTAATCCAGGGCGATGACCTGCTTTGCGGGTAGCCCGGAGTCACTGCATTTGAACCTCCGTGGCCACAAGGGGGTTTTTATCCCTCCTTGGATTTGAACCTGAGACCTCCAGGCACTTTGACCTTCGGAGCCTAAGCTCAAACCAATCAGGCACTACCCTTGTGGTTATGTTAGACATTCTTTATGTTGAGTTTGTGTGTTCTTTTAATTTTGATCTTTTTTTGTAATCAGTTACTTGTTCTGGGTGGAAGTGGGTTTGTTGGCTCACATATATGCAAAGAAGCATTAGATCGTGGATTGTCTGTTTCTAGCCTTAGCAGGTATAGATTTGTTGCTTATGTTTTGCATTATTTTGAGGAATAACATGGAGATGAAAGAATGACTTTATAGGTGCTGAATGATCCCATTGATAACAGTATATGATGATGTAGTTTTGTCCTACCTTATGCCTTTATCGCATAAAATATAACGTTAGTTCTGAAGATTGATTGTTTGTTCTCCAAAAGCAAACTAGAAATCATTAGCTTTGAAGTGAAAATGTTGTTGCTATAATGCTAGTTCTTTGGAGATGGTTAGCAGTCATGGAAAAGGATGATTTGTTTCAATTTATTTGGATAAAATATCAAAGACAAAACCCCTGAATGTGCAACTTTGGGTGAGATAAGAAACCAGTAGGCATGCTACAGGATATGGAAGAACCAAAGAACTAGAATGTGCATCTACAATATGGAGGTGCACTTTCATTTTAAGCGAGAAGTCTTACTTTACGTTCAAATAATGGAGTCAGGTAGCCAAGCTCTAATTAATCGGGATATGGGTGTTTTGTTGTAGTTATTCCACTCATTCATGCTTTTCTTAACCACCTTTCTTAACATCCTTAATAGTGCCAGTTTTTTATTCTTGTCTTTTCATTGTGTGGTTACAGTAATAAAATGATCTATGGTGCATGTTGAAGTTTCTTATGTTAACGAAATGTGATAATTTGTTATGTTGTACAGTTTATGATAGTTGCTGACTTTGTTTACATATATGAAAGTGTTGCCCTTCTATCCTTGCAAATAAAAATATAATAACTATGTCATGTATCTCCTTACTGGCAATCGTTGTTCCGGGTCCCATTTCTTGTGTGATGTCCCTTAGGAAGTAGCAAAGGTACTCTAACTAGTTTAGTTTGATGTTGGATGTAACCCCAGTAAGGCTTAGGTGCTTCTAAATGTGCATGTTGTTGCTAGAATATCCTGTTAATATATATATATATATATATATATATATAGAGAGAGAGAGAGAGAGAGAAGTTCAAACGAGAACACCCTTGTTTTACGAATAGAGATGGCAATGGGGTCGGGGGTATCGCGGATCACAATCCCCATCCCCATCCCCGCTCTCCAACCCCCATCCCTATCCCTGTTGGGGAATAAGATTTCATCCCCATCCCCATCTTGGAACGGGGATCCCCATCCGGGAATCGAGGATTTTCCCTGTCTATACAATTTAAGTTTCTACGTACTTTTGCATATTATGTATATAAATGCCAATTTTACGTTCAAAGACATATAATGCTAAAATATTAATTACTCAAAATTTAATTGTTTCATTTGTATAAGGGTAACATAAAATACGTAGTTCAAACACAAATATATCAATTACAATACTTAATGATTGAAGTTTTATATAATCACATCATTATATCAACAAAAGTTTCCCATGAACAACAAAATCAATAATGCAATCTTTTTACAAGTTTTCATCATGGAAGATTGATTATATTTATACATTATATATACTCATTGGGTTATACTATATTATTATATTCAGCATATATATACAGAAATGTATATTAATACTCGGGGTCGAGGATGAAGGGTATCTTCACGGTTTATAAATTCGGGGATTCCCCATCCGCGGTCAACTCGGGGATTTCCCAGTCAAACTACGGTCAGGTATCGGGTTCCCTATTGGGTGCGGGGTCTTTTGCCATCTCTATTTACGAAAATGAGAGAACATTTCTGGGCCTCCAAATTGTTTAAGCCATAATTAAAATTAGAATAAATGAAAAATAAGTTAGTATTCATCAACAATTTTTTGCTATATAAAATTTGTCTATATCTCTTAAATGTTGTTATTATCATCAAAGACTTCTTATGTTGATGTTTCCATTGTGATAATGTTGTGATAATGATATGATTTTCCTATGATAATAATGTGACAATGCCTTGATAAATCAAAGACTTCTTATGATGTGACTTTGCCATGATAATGATGTGATTTTGCTGTTATAATGTTGTGATAATCGAAAACTGATGATCACGTCATATATATAGGACTACTGAAGGATTGATTTAACATGAGTTGCAACTTAGCGTGATTTTAGTAATTGACATAGTTATGTAATTTTGAACTATATTTTTTAAAGAAATTTTTCATAATGTTGATTTTAGGTATGTGTGGCCTTGTAAGTATGACCTTGTAAGTTGCAATGTGAAAGAAAAGGGTTCCTCAAATGCCATTTTTTGCAACCATAAGCTAGCTTAATTTTTTGAGCTTATTGAAAAAGCTTCCTCTGGTAAGCCATAAGCTAGCTTGTTGAAAAGCTATTTCAAAGAGCTTTTCAATAAGCTGCCTTCAACATGTCATTTTAAGTTATTTTACATTGTCATCTAGCTTATCAACTAGTTTTTACCAAGCATGACTAGTTATCAGCTAACTTATTAGGCCAACAACTAGCTTATTAGCTAGTTTGCCAAACATAGCCAAAAGGTGCATACGATTCCTTTGACAAACTTGTAATATGTAGAGTACATTATTGGGCCATGGTCAAGAAGTATGCTAATAGTAATAGGAAACCCAAATTGATAATATTGATTGCGATACAAATATAATATATTTGACATTTCTTGTCAAGATGGAACGTATATGTCAAATAAGCCCAATGCGTCTCATATGAGGCCAATATTTGATCCTCGGCCCATCTTTGCCGAAGTATCAACAACAATGGTCTCTGGAACATACTCTATAGTGTTGAACAAAGGAGGTTCATGAGAAGTACCAACTACCTTTCTAACATAATGGCAGTTAAGTTCAATATAATTGTATGCTCATGAAAAAAATCTGGCTCTTGGAAATATGTAGAAAAGCCTTGTTGCTATCAAACAAGTTGAGGACGCTGAAGAATCCTCCGACTCTTGTGCCAACTTCCAGAAACAGAGTAAGTTTAAACCGGATTAAACTCCTCACTTGATTGACTTCTGAGTGTAAGTGGCATGAGCTTAGCCCCTATCTTCTTAGTCACATGTTCTATCAATTTCCTTGCTTGAACAGGATGCCCTCTCCATCGGTAGAGAAACCCTGCCTGGTGTTCCTTGCAACACCTACGTCCTGCCTTGCATGTTCCTTTTCAACAAGATGCATGAGCAAAAGACACTTTTTAGTGCTAGTAGGAATCTTTGTAAGCTTCTGTTGCAGTAGAGAATACATGGATTGATTATTTTATTACACGAAGAACGGGATCATGTGTAGATGATAACCTTCATATGATTGTCTGATCATGTAGTTTATTGTTGTGACATCCATCAGAATTCACAGCAAGATGCACTTCTGGAACTCATCGACTAGCTTCTTGAAGGGCATATGTACAAGCATCCTGTATGAGCACAGGACGTACTAGATTTGCTGAGTTGCCACAAGATGACCCCACAGGGTAGGGCTTTTTGCAGTCTGATCAGTCATAGCAGTGGCATAAATGTGAGGTTCCATAGGTCTCACAGTGTGCTTTGTCTATAATCAGCCACTTAGAAGTGATAGGTGCTCGGAGTCGTGTGCGCGACTCCGTCACATGGTTGATTCTTGATCTCATCATATGATAATGGATATAGGTCAACTGATCCTATTCACTTCATTCAAATTTATCTGGTCTTTGACGTATTCGAGTTTAGCATTTATACCAGAACCGTTACCAGAATTATCTTTTGCTTTAGTGACTAGAAAAATCAATTAATAACCAGTGAAATGTCAGAGGTAATATATGGGGTTATAACCGAGAAACCAGGGATCCTGTAAGGTGGTAAGGCATGTATAAATCAGCCAAGAGATGAATTTTATGGAGTACTCCTAGGTCGAGAGGAGATAATAGCACTTCAATTGATGAGCTTGTCACCGAACTTGATGTCAGAATCCTACCATCAAATCTGCTTCAGATGCCAAATGAATCCACAAACCCCATTAACAGAATATCTTGAACCAGAAATTTGACAGTATTGGATCGAGAGAAAAAATCAAATAAGAAGACCGCCAACCCTTAAATTGGAATTAACCCAAAACACTTAAACTTGCCTTCATGAGCAGAAGGATTGAACCACACACAAGCTCCTTGATCAGGCCAAGAAACAGTCTGTCAAATGCAAACTGTGGGTTGTTGACTTTCGAACCAGACCCAGAGGCTGGTTTCAAGCTGTCAAGATTTGAGCTAGGAACAAGAGAGAGAAGGCAATGGTTGTTCCTTGGTGGCCGAAAGAGGCAGCACATGTCAAAAACCCTAGGGACCTGTACCCTGAATACCATGAAACAAAGTGGTTTATTGGGAAGTCTTTTTCATTGCATAGATTACAATATATAGAGTACAATAGTGGAAATGCGTTCTTATAGATAAAACCTTTATGGAAGAGTCAAAACTGACTTAATATTGATGATGGCGTAAATGTCCTATACCTAACATGAAGAAACTTATTAGAAATTCATCTTGTGGATGTACGTAACTGCCTGGAAATTGACCAACAACTAATGTTTTCTTTGAATGGAAATCACTAATATATGTATGTATGCGTCTGGGCGGGCGTGAGTGATATTGATGATGGTGTAAATGTCCTATACCTAACATGAAGAAACTTATTAGAAATTCATCTTGTGGATGTACGTAACTGGCAAGTAGTGGAAATTGACCAACAACTAATGTTTTCTTTGAATGGAAACCACTAATATATGTATGTATGTGTGTGTGCGTGCGTGTGTGTGTGTTCATGACTAAGTTTTCCTTCAGGGTAATCTTTTGAAGTTTAGACTTTGTGGAGATGATGGCACTGAATAAATGTTGCGATATGAAATACATAACACTGTTTATTCTTCCCTATGTGATGTCAACTTTCTTTTGCAGATCTGGCAAGCCATCTATTCAGGAACCATGGGCTAACAATGTGCACTGGCATCAAGGTATCACATCTTGTTTATGAGTACATCTTCTTATCATACATCTGTCGATTGCATATGCACACATGCATAAATATATAACCATGGGCTCATTTGGGATTGCTGAACAAGTATTGTGTTGCTTATGAACACAAGCATGTGCTTACTAGCACATTAGCAAGGCATTTTACTCACCGTGGTTTCATTATTTTATCAATTTGATCATCTTTGTTTTATTTAAGAGCTTTGTCACTATCTTTAGATTTTTTAGCTATGTTTACCATTTCATTGGTCTTTGTTCTATTGCTGATACAAGATCTCTAATCTTTTATCCCTGTGTTGTTAGGGGACTTGCTGTCTGGCGGCTCATGGAAGGAAGCATTAAACGGAGTGACCTCCATTGTGCGTAGTGCCTTACTAATATTTCAAATGCAAAATTTCTGAGTCATAATAAAGATTCACCTCATCAATAATTCTTTTGCCTCCTGAAAGTTTCCCTTGAACAAAGTTTCTTTGTAATTTGAAAAGGGAGTTGAGTTAAAAAAGCAGTAGTTTTTCTTAATTTGTTATGCATAAACCAGGACTAAGGTGGGGATTCGGGTTTACATTAGATATTACTTAGTAAGAGATGATTTGTGTTTAGATACCCACAAGGCTGTGCTCACATTCAAGTCAGAAGTGTTTTATGAGTTTTGATGTAGGGTAGAAATGTTGCTTGGACCAAGATCTCTTTTCGAACGCTTGGATTGGTCAAGATAACCGATTAAAGTTATAATCAAGTTGTTGCATCTGCTCTAATTATGTGGTGTATGAAATGGTTGTATAATTTCAAGGCAATCTTCTGTGTAGGATGTAGTGGACAGTGCTTGGAGCTCTGGTCCCTGAATGGAATTACTTCCAAGTTCCAAGTATGACGCCAATAGTTGAGCAGGTCTATCTTATAATGTGAGCCCATTACCTCTACTGGTTAAAGAGGGGAGAAATGTAGTACGGATGAAATGAGTGAAATTCGTACCATGGAAATTGAATATGTGATGTCTAACATCACAGAACTCTTAGCCGGTTGATTATATTAGTTAGAGATAATTACGATTATATTAGTTAGAGATAATTACGATTATATTAGTTAGAGATAATTACGGATTTGATTTATATTTATCATTAATTATAGCCGATAGGGTTTCTTTGTACATACCCTATATATAGGGATTTTCTGTTAATGATGAAGGCATCGAGTTTTGCAAATTTTCA